TCCCCGTAGTGTTATGGCTTTCGGCATGCAGCAGGGTCAGGCTGTCCTACGTGCTGCACGCTCACGGAAGACTTCCCGAAAGAGAAACTGCCCTAGCGGCCAGGAGTTTGCTATCGCCAGTTCTGGGCAGGGGGAAAGCCGTGCTGGGAGAACTAGTGTTTCCTAACAACCAGCTCGATGCTAGTGCTTGCTTCCCTGGGTCAGGGAGAGTCTGGTTCTGGTCCCCACCCTGCTTGCCCCCCTCCCCTGACCTGGTGAGCCATTAGGACATCATGGACTGCTGCACAGCCTTCTGCAGGGACTGCCGGGTCACCAGCAGCCGCACCACTTCTTCGTTCCTCTTGGTCAGCCGCTTCCTCGCTTGGTCGTGAGTCACCATGGTCATGTCCCAGCCATTCACCTGGACAGGAGGAGGAAGGCTCAGTGCTCCTGTAGGTGGTGGGACCGGCAGTCCTGTGTCGTGCTGGCCCCCGCGGATACGTCAGGCAGGGGCAGAAGTAACCCGCGTGGGTCTTCTCCAGTGCACGCCGCTGAAACTGAAGGGCTCCAGCCACACACCCAGGTGCAAGCAAGAGTCCTGGTACTCCCCAGGCCCAGGAGGCGCACAAAGCAGCCGCTGCCCTGGACCTTGCCCCCACGCGATAATGTTTCCTTGGTCGTCGTTCAGGACCATTCCAGGCCCCATGTCCCTTTACCCAGGTTACGGCCCACCTCCAAGCCCAGCCCTCCCAGGGACTGCGTTGGCAGCTAGCGTAAGGCCACAGCAGGCTGCAAAACCGTCTCCCTAAGGCCCAGACGTCTTGTGGGGAAAACAGCGGGCTCTTCAGCACCCCAGACAAGCTGTGAGACAACGCGCAAGCAAAATGGAGACGAAAGGGGTCCACGTACTCGGGCTTTCCTTCACCCTGCTCCCCCGCGTAGGGGCTGGGAGGACGGCACGCCCCCCGGGGCCGTCCCACAGCAAAGACACGCTCCGCTCGGGTTCAGCCGTGAGCTTGGGCCTTACCTGCATGATCTTGTCTCCGATCTGCAGTCCCGCGACTTCTGCTGGGCCTCCCTCTGTCACCCTCGTCACGTAAATGCCCTGCAAGAGCCAGGCTGCAGTTACCCCGTGAACTGCCCGACGCCAGACGAGCGTTTCAGGGAGGAAGCGAATGTTGCCAGTGGTGCGGGCTCCCTAGGAGCGGGCAGAGCCCAGCCCCGCGCCCCAAGGGCCTGCACCAGCGCGGGACCCAGCGGCAGCAGAGCGCGAGCAGGCTCCCATGCGAAGAGCACCCGCCCTCGCGCAACACAGGCGAGCCTCCCCGACCGCGGCCATCCCCAGGGAGACCCCGACCTTGTCGGTTTTGTCCTCGGAGAAGGGGTTCTGCGCGGGGTCCTGGTCGATGCCGCCGCCGATGCTGAACCCCAGGATCAGGTTCTCGCCTTGACGCAGCTTGTGGATCTCGATTCTTTGCTGCGGGGACAGGGAGAGGCAGAGGGTGAGGGGGCCGCCTCGCCCGGCAGGCGCACCACGGGCCCCCCTCGCCTCGGCGTCCCCTACGCGAGGAGAGGGGTTGTCCCGCGCCTCGGTGCCGCCGCGGGGCCCGCACTCACCACGACGGCGGTGACCGGCTGTCCGGGCACGTAGGACATGGCCCCGCCACCGCCGCCGCCTCGGCGAACAAAAGCTTCGGAGACACCAGCCCCGCCCCGCCACCCAATGGGGCGCGGCTTCCGCTGACGTGTCCCCGGGCCCCGGAAGCGGAAGGGGCGGGCGCGGCCGGCCTTGACCCAAGATGGCGGCGCGGTGCTTCCGGTAGAGCTCTCCTCAGCGCGGCGGCGGGCCCGCCACGATGGCGGCGGTGCGGCGCGAGGGGCCGCCGTTCATCAGCGAGGGCGCGGTGCGAGGCAATGCCGCCATCCTGGACTACTGCCGCACCTCGGTGTCGGCGCTGTCGGGCGCCACGGCCGGCATTCTGGGCCTGACGGGCCTGCGCGGCTTCGTCTTCTACCTGCTGGCCTCCGTGCTGCTGTCGGCGCTGCTGGTGCTCAAGGCCGGGCGCCGCTGGGGCAAGTACTTCAAGTCGCGCCGGCCGCTCTTCACGGGCGGGCTCGTGGGCGGCCTCTTCACCTACGTGCTCTTCTGGACCTTCCTCTACGGCATGGTGCACGTGTACTGACCCGCCCGCCGCCAACTCCACCAGCGACGGGCAACAGCGAGCGGCAGACACGGAGCCGGGTGAGCGACGGCCCCACACGCCAGATACGCAGGACTGTCGGGGGGTGAAAGCCCGTCTTTTGTGGGGTGCATGGCGACGGGCAGTGAGTTGCGCCTGCTGTGGGCATGCCACCAGGCTTGCGCCGCCATCCTGAAACGCTGCTGCACACCTGGATGGCTGCTGGCCGTTTCCCACCCGCCTGAGCGAGCCCTGCCGTAACCCTGCTGTTAGCATGCCCTGAATACATACGTGCAGCCTGAGGTGACGGTGTTCAGTCTCTTTCTCTTTGCTAGGGGAAAAATCCCACGTGGCCACTCGCCATTGATAGCAGGTGCCTCGGCGCTTGTACACAAGCAGTGAGGCTGCGCTGAGGTTATGCCTAGTCAGAGCAGACTGGATTGATCCTGGACTAATCAGTGCGGGATTACTCGAGTCTCCCGGGGCATGGTAATTGCTGCGCTCTGGCCCACTCCAGTGTCTTGTCTATTGGCATCCCCACGGTGAAAAATGGTGATGGGGCACTTCAAGTAAAGCTCGTTCAAGCAGCCCCCTCCCTGTTGTAGCACAGGGATATGGCTATACAAGATGGTCCAGGCGCTTTAATTAAAGCAGCTCTCTGAGCCGTTCTAACTAAGGGGTTTCTACTCCCAGAGCCTGTGTATAGATACCCGTAGTCTCTCGCCTCCTCTACAGTAACGGGGCTCTAGGGTGGATGTGCTTCTACGTGAGCCTTGAGTTTTTCCATGTTGGGGCTGTTGCCAAAACTCCTCTAAAGAGCTTGGCCAGGTCACTATCCCTGGCTGAGGTATGAGGAGAGAGTCAGCCATAAACAAACACTTTCCTGTTCTGGGAGGAATAAGTGAAGTGACAATGTAGGCAGGACATTTAGTGCAACACGTTCCCCCCCCTTCAGGTTTTGTGAAGTGTCTGATCCTGCCCTGCCACATGTTACTGACTGCACAGGGTAACGCAGCGGTCTGTGGGAGAAGAAAGCTGGTGGGTGTCTCAAAGGTCAGAGGGTCGAGCCAAGTTCTCAGCTCTGGATTCCTGAACTGACTCATTCAGTTTTTAAAGACTGGCACTTTTGTTACCCAGAGGCAGGCATCCTCATCAACAGGGATCAGGGTTTTCAGTTGCCCATGGAGGAACGGAGAAAAACACATTTTCCCTTTTGGCACAGAAACCTGTGGATTTCCCCCCTTCTGCAAAGAGCTGTGCAGGTGGCAGAACTCGGGCCTGGGAAAGCTAATTGCAAAAAGGGCAGGAAACCCCCAGCCCTGCCCGGAGTGGGAAGGGAAGGGCAGGGTTCAATCAGCCACTGCGCAGCTTAGCCCCCCTCTTTGCTCTCAGAACCTGCGAGGTAAGTAGGGCTTCCAGGGGGCTGGACCCCCTCTGGCAGGGCTGAAGGGTTGCAGGCTGTGGCTTCTGCTGCAGCAGCCATGCCCCTGGTTGGGGGCAGGGAGCTATTGACCTGGCAGCTGAGGGCCCCTCCAGCAGGGCTGGGGGGTGGGCCTTAAATTTTAATCAGGGATTTTGGGGTTTTTATCCGAGAGAGCCAGGATCCCTGGTCATTGATAGCCTCATACTGTAGAAATGCCACGTAAACTTTTCAAAAGAAAATGCCAAGGCAATGCATTACTAAAGGGAAGAACTGGAATAATACATGGCTAATCGGTATTATCTGCAATAACACAAGGTACAGAAGAGTCTAAGAGCATTGTCTGAAAATAGACAAAAATCCCGTTTCTGTATATAAACATAAACAAAGATATTAAATAAGGTAAAAAGAAAAACTCCTGAGAATCACGCGGTTAAACACCGTTCTTTGTGTATAGAGTTTGCAAAATGGAAAACAAAGGGCGTGGATTAGTACAACGAATTGAGTTTTGTGAGGAGATTGAGAGACTTCGACTCCGGCAGTGGGTTGGGTCCTTGAACAAGAAGGTATTGTTATGGCATGTTGAAACATTCGTTTCAGCGTAGAACGAGCCCAGCCTAATTTTTGTGACAAGCCGTTTGGTCTTCATGAACTGCTCTTTGGTTCACTGTTTGATAGCACTTTTTTATGCCACTTGTTTCAGCTTCTAAAAACTACATAAGCAGAATTAAATGGAAATACTACTCATCTAGCAGACTACTAGCTAGGTAAGAGTCATACTACAGTAACAGGAAAATATTTCTAAGAGACTATACTAAGTCAGGCCTGTTAGGATGGCTTTATGGACACAGCATTGTTTGCCTAGAGAAGAGACTTGTAAAGATGAATGAGGCTTTGTATGCAACAGCAGCAGCATGAGTGCACACAGCTTCTAAATTAAACAGTGGCTTCTGGTTTAGGCCCAGTCATTAACTTTATCTGCGGATCAGAAGGGAGGGCAGATACACCTGTTGCCGATCCATGTGGTCAGAGCCAGTCCAGCAGCATGGGGCCTGTTTGGCAGCAGCAGCAAGCCCTGCCCTGGGACTGGAATCAGTAGGTGCTGTATGCTGCTTAACTGTTCACAAACTTAAAGGGCAAGATGATGGGGAAATGGAGCAGCACTGCTGAAGCAAGCGGAGGCAGGAGGGGGCCTGGTAGTGAGTTTCCTGAGCATGCTGACCATGATTGTTGCCATGGTACGATAGATTTCACTTCCTCTCCCACTTCAACTCCTAGCAGCTGTTTTCCCCAAAGAAAAAGACAGCCACGGGTTGTCTCCAAGGCATTTCCCAGCTTCCTTGGAAAGCAAGAGGCTTGATTCAAAACATTCCCCAATGAGGTGACTGGCCGTGCCAGCCTGGCAGAAACCCTAGGTTCTCACACCCTCAAGTGGGAAACCACCCAGCCCCGTTACCAATGGAAAAAAATCTCGTGGGTATAAACACAGCGCATGGTTACCACAAACACTCATGTGCTCTTGAAGGCACCATCCAGGCTACTGTATGATGGAGGGTTGATAGCATGTTTCACTGAAGAGGGGAGGAAACAGCCTGCCTTGAGGGAGGGCTTTCCCAGAGAGCACCACTTCTGCTTATCAGTTTATATTCAAAAGCAATGAGTTTATTGCCCTATGTGGGCAGCGTGCATTGGAGCACAGGTTCTGGAAGCAAAGGAGCCCCCACCCCAGCCCCATTCCTTGGTTGCACGAAAGGCCAGCACTCGCTCATCCCAGGGCGAGCAGGCTGATCGATTTCCACTTCTGCCAGGATCTGGAAGCTAAGGCAGCAGAACGGAGTGGGAAGCACCAGCTTTTCCAGCCCCACCTCTCCTGGAAATGCTAAGCGTGGTTCATGGTACTGATCTTGCAGCAGAAGCTGAGCGCTGCCACATCACGATGCTGGTTTTGATGTCGGCATGTATAAAACCGTGGTTTGGGTTCTTAGTGTTCCTTCGTAAAATAAAAGTCCTGTAGCAATGACTGCTGTCACTGGCTCGGGAGAGAGCAGAATGGCTCGGGATAGGAGATGCAAGCAGACTGCTGTCTGGTAGCGAACAGCCATCACTGACCTCTTCTCTGGGCAGCCAGATGATACAAAGACCTGACAGGCTGTGTCCACCTCGCAGTCTGAGCATTACCTTGAACCCCACAATCTGTATGGAATGTGTTTTCTAACCAACAGGCTGGTAGTTAAGTCTCCACTGCCTGTAGTTGCCTCAGCCCAGCCAGGGACTCGGCGTTCTGATTTCCACTCGGGGTAGCACCCGGAACCGTATTCTTTGAACAGGACCTGGGAATAGGAGGCAAAAGTGGCAGTGAAAGGTCCAAAGGCAGCAGTGTCCTGTCTGCACAAAGCCATGGGGGCATCCACAGGCTAGGGGGCTTCCGTTGGTACCGGGCTGAGTGAATGTCCACCTCAGTTAAGAGCAGGGTTGTTTCCCCCATCAGGCACCTTTGCCCAAGCTGCACAAGCTCATTGTACTTGAGCTTCTTACACAGCCGTCACACTGACTAGCAGGTTTTTGCATAATGCCAGCAAGTGGCCTGACAGCGATTCTCCACGGGCCGAACACTGCCCCTCGCTCCAGCAGTGGCTGCATGTGCACCCAGAGGCAGATGCAGCCTTCCAGAGCTAGGACTGAGCATGTTGTGTAACACGAGCTGCATCGGAACAGACAAAGCAAAACAAGCCCTTCCAAGCCCTGTTCCCATGATTTGCTGGCACCGTGTGCTGGCAAGGGGTCGCTGGCTCCCTGGAGGGAGCTGCATAACTCCCTGCTGATGCATGTGGGTTGTAGGCCCACACACTGGACAGGCTGAAATACAGAAGCCAATGGAGGAGAACTGAGACCCCTGTTTCAAAGTGGGGCTCCAAGGCTGCACCAGCACTGTACCAGATATCACACTGGACGGTGCCATGGTGCAGCAGTTCCTCCTGCTGTTGTTGGCACTTTTATCTTTGTCATTACCACTGAGCAGCTTGGAGAATGGGCCTAAAGCGCCTGCTCTGCTATCGCTGACGCAGCTCCCGCTGCGTCCCTGCCCAGCCCCAAAGTCACCTTGCCCAGACCCGCTCCCTGGCTGGGCCTCTCTATTTCATCTCAGTAAGCGAACACGGGACCAGGCTGCTGCAGCTCTGGGACACTGCCATTGATTCCATTTGGCACCCTCATGGACTGAGCCGGGGGCCGTTATTGACTTGTCCGTGAGGCAGCAGCTTTCCTTGTTCCCTGCCTCGCTCCAGCCACGACTTAGAGGGACTTGCTATCCTCATCTGTATGCGTATCATTTCCTGTCTGCAAATGGCCCCCCTGCCATTAGCATTTCCTGTGCACCACCACGTCCTTCCAAAGTGCAGTACAATGTTACGCATTGAAACGTGATGAGAGTCCTACTTACTTCACTTCCTCGTACTTTTTGCCTCGATAAAAGTGGCTCTTTTTGATGAGGTACAGCAGCACCAGGTCACAGAAGAAAGCTCCCTGCAAAAGATTGAGGGAAACACATTGCAGTCTCTGAAAGCAAAGGTATCCCCTACCAGTTAAAATCCACAAAACCACTGCTAGCAGCTCCTTAACACCCAGCCACATTCTGAAGCCAGCAGTTTGTCACCAATTACAGGAGGCTTTTGCGTGCTTTCTAACCCTTCTTTGGGGACAGTTCAGTGATGGTGGGACCCGTCTTCCCTTGGCTTTTCCACCATGCCAACTGACCTGAGCTATCTTCGCATATTAGAGGTTCTTTGCTACAGCATTGTTTGTAGTTCAGCCTTCACACCACGTACATCCCCCCTGGTGGGATCTGTTCTCCTTCATGCATTAAACCCTACTGGGGACATGCAGCGGACACGGACCCCACAGATCAGCTTTTCTGAGGAGTCCTCCTGGGACAGACCGTTTCATTTCAGGTCTCATTTTCCAAGCATACGGCACACCCTGGTGATGCCTCAACCCTGGGACTGGAATGAATTAGAAGTGGCTTTTACTTACCGCACCCATAAGTGCGAGCCCTGAACCCACGTTGATTATTGTTGGAATGATGTTAAATTTTCCCGCCTGGGGAAAAAACAAACAAACAAAAAAAACAACGCACAACACAGAGCAGTTAGCGCTAGCTCAGCAGCTCGCCAGGAGCTAAGCAGATGGCTACGGGGAAATCTGGCCCCTTGGCCCAGGTTCCAGCAGCAGCAGGCTGGGCTGTAGGAAAGAGCTCTTCGCAAGGCAGGCTTTCAAGACCAGTGTCTGCACTAAGAGGCCTGCGTCTGTCTGCGGGCAGCAGGGCCGCAGCACTGCGTTAATGCAGGCCTCTCCTGAAACCTGACCTCCACAGTTCTGGGGCTTATGCTACAGCGTGTACGCACAGGAAATCAAACTACCTTTCTTCCCTGGGGAGCTGCTGGACCTCGCCTGCGCTGCTTTCCTTAACCTGCAGGAGATGCGACGTGGATCTTGTCTTCATCTTACTCTGCCCAGCCTGCTGCTGCAATCAGCCTCTCGTGTGCGCTTACCCTACTTCCTCATGCCAATGAGTCTGGAATGCCAGGAGCCCCTCCCCTCAACACGCAGGAGTGGGTTTTGGTCTCAGCGCAGCACTGCTGTAATGCATTCAAGCTTTTACCAGCTTTACAACGCCCCCCTGTCCTTGTTTCTTTCCAGGCTCAGAAGTGCCCCTGCTCAGGCTCCTCACTCACCTTGCCATTCACCATCACGTCAAAGCGGATGCCGTAGGCTTTGATCAGCGTCCGGAACTCAACCCCGTCAGTGTTCTTGTAGTATTTTGCAAACCTGGAATGCAGGGAACATGAGGCCGTTGATTTTTAATTCAGGCACCTGCCCCGCTTCTAGATGAAGCTATTTTAATGCAACACACAATCTACAAGCCATTTGATACTGTAAAGAAGTGTTCTAGTTCCATGTTGCAGGGTGCCTGGCAGAGGGGTTACATCAGTTCACCCCCCATGTCCAGGTGCGGGTATATTTCCCTGTTAAAAAACACCTGGCTAAGAACAGCGTAGTCCCAAACCCAACACCTCAGAGGAGCACAGGGGGTGGGTCCAAGGGTGAGTCCAATCCTGGAGGTACAGTGTTTCATGTCCAGCCTTAGCCAGTGGGATCAGTAATCCCAAAGGAGATCAGCGCAATGGCCTTGCTGCAATTTCCTCCTCATTTCAGTGGAAGAAGGGAAGGAAAAATGTGCCACACCTGTGCCTGGAACCTAAAGACCTCCGTGGCAGCCACGTGTCCGTGTCTGGGGGTGACGATGGGCACAACTGGGGCTTGGTACAGATTATGGAAGACTCAGCTGAACTTGTAAATCATTTCTGCCATTCCAGGTTTATAATCTCTGCACACCCCTGCTGTGTCAGGATATGAGCTCTGCAGAGAGCTGACTTGTGGCTTAGGTGCCACAACGAGATGTAACGATGGCTGCTGTGATTCACCTGCTCTACCTGTGGCAGGTTAGGGTGTAGCAGCTTGTGTTTGTGTTGAGGTTCACTATAGTCTTACTAATAGTTTAGGTTGTGGATTTGTATGGGAGGGTTTGGATAGGGATGATTCCTGCCTCAGGCAGGGGGTCGGACTACGTGACCTATGGCCCCTTCCAGCTCTGCTTTTCTGTGAGTCTGTGTGTAAGAGGCAGGGGACATTTTAAATAGTCTTCTAGTCATGGAAGCAGAGCAACACGGCTGCAAAAGCTACCCAGGCCTAGGCACAGAGTCTGATATAATCTACAATCCAGGACTGCAATGCTGGATAGCAGTAACGTACCTGAAGTTGTACCCAGAGGAGATGGATTTTTCTCCAGACTCATTATCCAGCCGGGTAAAAGAGTAGTGAGGGTTGCATTCAGAAGGCCCTTTATCAAGGTTGCAGTCCCATTCAATCATAATCCCGATGGCACCACCCTGGAGGAGAGGGAGAGAGAGGTTTTCAGCAGGCTGTTCTTGTAACTGAGCTTGGTTCTTTCATCCTTGAACCCCACTTCCTGCTCTTCTGCCACATGTCTCTCAAGAAAGAGAGAGGAAAGCAGACCTCCCCGGTCCTGGTCAGGAGATCAGTATGAGCCACATTCATGCCACTGAAGCTAATCACACAATGCTCCTGACGCCACCAAGACTCTTCCTATGCTGGAAATCTGGGGGGCAGTTACACTGTGCACCTTGCAGTGCCCAACCCAGAAGGACCCATGGGTAGCCATGAGGTTTTCCACATCCAGATGTGAAGTCTGTGGCCTTCAGCAGACAGGACATTTAGTCACTGCAGGTGAGACCGAGTCCCATGCAGAAAGCCAGCACAAGGGCTGCATCACGGGCTGAGTGAGTGGGCTTCCAGAGGGGCCAGGCCTTGCACCGACTCCTTGACAGGGGGCCGAGTCTCCCCTTGTGTGACAATGGATTAATTTTTCCACGTTTCTCTGAGCCCAGCAGCACCTGTCCACAGCGGATTTGTAAGCCATAGGGAGTTGCATTTCTCATAGACCTTACAGGGACACTGTTCAAGCCAAGTCAGGGCAGGGAGGGGGCGGTCACACCTGTGGGGTCCTTTCATCACCCAACGGAGATGTCTCAGCATTGTGGGGAGGTCTCTCCCTGGCTGGGGGAGCACAGGGGACGACGGTGTTTGTACCTCAAGTGCCATCTCCTGAAAGTTGCTCCCGGCCCAGCTCACGAGGTTGCCCAGGCGGAAGATGGGGCAGTACAGGTTTTTGGGGCTGTAGTGGCAGGATTTCAGGTAGAAGTTGTCGTTAGTTTTCAGCACATTCGTCCTGCAGACGGGAAAGGAGAGAGCTGCTCCAACCCTTCCCTCTGCCGCCCTGTGGAGCCACGGAGGGACCTTCCTTTTCAGGGCAGCGCCTCTGCTATCAGACCTGCTGTGCCACCCAGGGCAACACGCCACCAACTCCGTTACCATCAATGCACGTGGCACGCTCAGATGCTAACACAGACCCTGGGGCCTGTGAACAGACTGAGGCAGGCTGACGTTTACTCCCCCAGGCCATCTGCTGACAAAACCAGGACTTGCAGAAGGGTTCACCCTCCCTTCAGCATTGCCTCCGTTGCGGTCCCCACCCCAGACGCGTCCTGTTCGCTCTCGGCGCGCACACACCAGGAATGGGCAACAAAGCTGCCCAGAGCAGGTGGCCCAGCCAACCCTTCCTGCTGGCTTCACCATGCTCCTCGCTTCAAGCAGAACATTCTTAATAATTATTTGGAGGTGGAAAGGCAGAGCGTCCTGGTTTAACCTTCCCAAGGAGCCCTCCAAGTGCCCTGCCCCAGATACTGCTGCTTGGTAGAGCGGTTTCTAATAGGCAGATCAGCGATAGTGGGCACAACAGATTTTACATTGGATGGGTGCCTGTTGGTCAGGTGGCTAGCCCGGCTGTACAAGGAAATACTCCAATATTCAGATCGACTGCAGTGGTTACTTGAGCGGGGCGATAAAGCCTGCAATGGAAACAGCAGCCTGTATTTCACTGAAAGGTTGGACCAGTTATGGCTGGGATGCGTGCGGCCACGTGCGTGTCAAAGGTCCTGTCCAACAAGTGACAGGCTGGGCAGTGCTGAGGAGCCTGGCGGTTTTCCCTCCTTGCTCTTCCCTGCTCCTCCACAGCCAGAAGCCATGTGGTTTCCTCTAACTACCAGCAGGAAGCATCCACCTTCCTAGAAGGGCATTTGAATCATGCACCCACAATGCAGAGGGAAATAAAGCTAAAGAAGCCCACGTAGGATTATGGACATCAGAGAGGCTCTGAGTGAGATGGGCAGAGAGCAGCATGTGCACTTACTTGGAGAATTTGAACTTTGGGAAGCGGATTGAGTTCTTGATGTACACAGTGAAGTTTTCTGCATTCGCTAAAAACACCTTCCTGGAAGAGAGGGGTCAGATGGGTTTCGGCTCCGGGCCCTCTGCTCTCCAGGCACTGCCCTCACCTTTCTGCTTCACAAGACAGAAATCAGGGCTGCATCCTCTGAACCCCTGGCAGCACTATAGGATCTCTCCTGGCCCAGCTCAGCCCCACCCATCAGCCCACACAGGTGGCCCAGCTTTTCAAGAGGTTGTTTCAGAAATGGGCAGCGATAGAGGGAGTCAGGGAGCAGCAAGGGCTGGAGGGCACTTGGCACATACTGTGCGGCACTGCGTGTCCTCGCAGATGCACTGCATCTACAGGGGAGCGCAGTCCCTGCCCTGGGCCACCCTTGTGCAGAACTCCCTGCTATGGTTAAGTACAGTGCTCTTCTAACCTGGTTCAAAAAGGGCATTCCAGCAGCCACCACCCAGCAATTTTCCATCAGCTACTCCCTAGGAAACCATGCTACCAAAGATAAGCCATGCTTGGTTACAGGGCAAGAAGGGACACGCACTTGGCGCTGGATTTTCTCTCCACTGGACACCACGCTAGTATCTCACATGTCCCATTGACGTTGCTCCCGGTTTTCATGCAGCGGCCGGTCTTCACCCCTGTGACATAGAGAAGACCATTGACAAGGTCATGTGGGGCACCCAGTTTCCTTTCCTGCAGGCAAACTGGATGTTAGACAGCTTTCCCCAGGCCCTCCATCATCCCCCCAGCTGTGAAAAGGCCTCTCCCTTCTCAAACAACAGTCTCCTTGTTGCTCTGCAGAGCAGCCCCAGGGGATCTTGGCAGCGTGACTAGTACCCATTTGGCTGTTTAAAGACACTGTAGACAAGTCAGTGATGGCAAATAAATAGCTCAGGGAGATGCAGATGCTGCTGCTTCAGCTCTGTTACCAGTTAGAGACATCTGAGACATCCCTAGCCTGAAGCACCCCCTGCTGACTGCCCGAGGTGAAGCGCAGGGGCCAGGGGTGACCCCATCACTCACCGTTGCCAGCTTTCACGGGTTCCCCCTGAGGGCAGTCCTTGTTCTTGCTGCACAGCGCGTCGGGAATGCCAGGGCTCTGCAAGGCAGGAGGTAGCAGCCAGTGAGGGCCACCACCAGGCAACAAACACGTCCACAGGAGCTCTCCCCAGCCCCCCAGCCAGAGAGGGGCACGCGCTGCCATTTAATGGGCAAGGGACAGGCAAATGAGGGCAGAGGCACTGGACCTCACAGAAGCCTGCTCGCCTATCTGCTGCATTTCGACAGGGGAGTAAAACATGGATTTGTTCTCCTTCCTCATTGGTCTAAGTGCCCAAGTGATTTAGAAAACCAGGCCCCACTGGCGTTCAATAGGGTACATGCCCCCAAGTCACACAGGCGCTTTGAGCACTCCCCCGCCTTGCCTGTGGTCCGGCATGCCCCGCTGAGGTTTGGGCACTAGATCGCTTTACTCTAGGAACTCTCTCACCCTGCAGTAAGCCAGAGGGGCCCGGGGTACAGTCTCGAGTCCCTGATCCACCAGCTGCAAGCTGACAGATGCGGCCGCGAGAGGGCAGCACGGTCCCAATCAGCTGGAGTCATTCTGTCCCCACCAGCATTGCAGGCAGACCCGGAGCCCAGCTAGCCAGAAGCAGGGAGGAGAGGGAAGGACTGTCGTTCTCAAGGCTTCAGCCAGGAAAGTTACTCACCTGCTGGCTTTTGCTGGACGCCCACTTGTTTGTGTGCGTGGCCAGCTCAGCGCAGGGCAAAGCAGCCAGGACGGGGCGAGAAGGTCGTTAATAAGCAGAATATTTCTGCGTGTGCGCAGATGGAGGCAGGACAGGTGCACCAAGCCTGGGCAACCTGGCACTGGGACTCCTCTGCCTCACTCGTGATACAGCTTCCAAGACCTGCTCTTTGTTGGTTTAGGACACAGTCCTTTAGGTTTAGGTGCTGAGCACCCTCCAGCCCGCTGGCGACAGTGAGAACAGAGCGTGGTTGGCACTGGTCACCGACAGGATGGAGCCCTCCATCTATTTCCCTTGGCTCCACTGCTACACGTCTGTCCAGCTGGACAACTCTTCCCCTCCCCCTTCTCCCGCTGACTGCAGGCTGCAGTGGCCCGATTCTCAGCTGTGCTGGGTCCTGGCAGCTGTCGCTAATGTCTGGTGGAGCTGGAAATGCCCAGCACCTCTGCACATCAAGCCAGCTGATCTCCCCCAACCCCACCCTGAAACGAATCCCATTTCTCCCATTCCAGGTCTGAGATGACCCCCTCCCTCCTGGGTCTGCTGTTCCCTCTTGCCAATTTGAGAGCCAGCCCCCCCCTTCCTACCTCGGGGCACATGTTCTGCGTCTGGTTTAGGGTCATAATCAGGTTCGTCATCACAAAGAAGATGCTTTCTCCCTAGACGTGGAAAAAGGAAAAAAGACACCTTTCACAGCCTGCTGACCCCGCCACAGCCGCATGCTCTGTGCAGCACAACACCTGGATCTCACGTGGCACTTTGCAATCCCAGGTCTAAGAGCCTCACGTAGGGTGTCACAATAACACGGGGAGAAGTGACTTGCCCACGGTCACCCAGAAACCCAGTGGCAGGGTGAGGATGGAGCCCAGGTCTCTGCATGGGGCCATGTCGCCCCCCAGCGTGGGGGCAGCACTCTGTCCTGCAGCCTGTATCCTAATCACAGGGCACATATTTGAAACCCTGTGCTGCAGGCAGGACAGCATTCAACTGCGCCTAGGCTTGGGAGGCAGGTGCTTGCGCTTTGATAAGCGAGATGCAATACCTGGCGGGGAGGCTGGGAAGAGCATTTGTAGGCTCAGTCGCAGCTCTCGGCGCCCGGCTTTCCTCTCCTTTCCCATAAGCCACAATGACTAGGTGAGAATCAGAGCTCGGGTCCCGTTGCAGAGCCACAAGGTGCACAGATCTGTGCCTGGTTCATGCTGCTCTACGGCAGCAGGTACACACACGTGCACATGGCATAGAGCGGGGGGTGGGGGGGGGGATGGCTTTCCTGGTTAAAGATGTGGGG